GGTGTTGAGCGACGCCCACCAACCCTCATCATGAAACTCCCAACAGCTAGGTGTAAAATGCCAAGCACACAGTGTCTTTGTGACAGGAAAGCTGGATGGCCAAAGGTGCAACCTTGTCATAGACTCTGCGTCTCAGCAAACCCTTGTAAGCATCAAGGTGTTAAATCATGCAGGAGTACCAGAAGCCATACAGAAGCTTTATGGTGTGACACGACATTCTACAAGATTGTGGGGACCAGTGTGGGTAACTATTGAGCTCATGGGCATAAAGGACAGACAGAAAGTATACTTAGCTGACATTGAAGACGAATGCATATTAGGATTGGACTATCTACGACCGAGGAAGTTTGTAATTGATTTTGATAAAATGATGTTTGGGAATAACGAAGGCCAAGTTCCGGTAACTGTTAAAAGAGAGGTTGAAATAATTAGGTGCCATCAGGGTGAAGTCAAAGTGACTGAAGAAGTTGATGATGACGAAGTGGAACCAGGTATCGATATTAAAGCAGAGCAGGAGAAAGATCAAGATTTGAAGCCAATGATTGATTTTCTAAAAGCAAGTGTTTTGCGCCCTGTTTGGGAGAAGGTGTCTAGTCTAAGCCCTGTGATAAAGCACTATTGGGTGCAATGGAAGGAGTTGAAGCTTGAAAATGGTATTCTTGTCCGGAGATGGGAAACTACAGATGGGAAAGTGACGACTTGGCAAACAGTTATACCGAGGAAGTTACGGGAAGTTGTGCCACGTCAATCCCATGATAGTTTAACAGGAGGACATCTCGGAATTAAGAAGACATTGAGTCACCTACGCCAAAGATTTTACTGGATAGGTATGAGGCGAGATGTGGAAGAATGGTGCAGGACATGCAGTACATGTAGTGCAAAAAGGAGACACAAGCATAAGGGACGTCCACCTTATGAAGAGTTGCCTGTGAATGTGTCAGAGTTTGTGAAAGTGTTATCGGAAAGGATGGATGATATCCACCATCAAGTGCATTCAAACTTGAAAACGTCTGCTGATTCGATGAAGTTAACTTATGATAAGAGATCTACTGAATTTAGCTTTGTACCAGGACACAAGGTATGGTTGTATAATGCCAGGAAGACCAAAGGGAAGTCTCCTAATTTGTCTTCTCTATGGGAAGGCCCATATGACATAGTGGATCGTCTCTCAGACGTGACTTTCCGGATAAAATGTGGTCTGCAAGGTAAGCCAAAAGTGGCACATGCCAACAGGCTATGGCATTATCACGGTCCAGGACATTTCAGTTGGGATGAAGTGGAAAACAGAACAAATGATGCTGCTGAAGATGTGCCACCTGAAGAAGCCACCGCCGAAGAAGAAACTCTACTCAGTTTTGAGAAGGGAAATGGTGAAGCTCTTGGTGAAGTTACTACCACTAATGTGACTGTTACCGATGATGGGGCATTTACTGATGAAGCAGATGAACTCCACATGAAGCAGAAGCCAAGAAGACAGAGACCAGTGC